CAGCCATTGCGTACACTTGTGCAACGCGTGCGGCCACGTCAAAGTTAGCAGCTGGCACTGTGCTAAATCAAAAACTAGCCAGAAAATAGTAGCTGAAATTTTGCAAAATACTTGTCGCTCATATGGAAAATTGTATGACTAAACTGTATTTCAAGCTGTACTTGCACCACGACTTAGGCCACTTCAAAGATATTTGTAGCGAAGTGCCTGTTTCGCTTATCAGAAAAGCTGCGAAGCCGGAACTTTGCAAAGATATTCTATATTCACATGTGGTTCCAATTCAGCTTGGAGGCGAAGTCTCTTGCGCGCAAGCACGGCAAATACTCAATTTTACTGCAAACTCAAAAGCGAGTGCATTTTGCAGATTTCATAATCCTCTTCAGGTCTCGATTTTTCAGTGAACGAGAATTCATCCGAAAAACAATCGGGCTTCATGTAAAAAACTAATAATCAAGCACGCTGAAAGTCTGTGCTGCCCCATAATGCAACATCTTCATCCCAGTCGATGCTCTTTTCGCTGCGTGCGAGAAGAGGCTAAAACACAGCCAATATGAGTCCAGTTGTTAAACTGCTGCGCAGGAACCATTCCTGCTGCTGATGACCTGCAAGTTTAGCGCAAAAACGCATGATTACACTAGCAAACTTGGTGCACTGCAGCCTGGGTTCATTCTTCCAAAGAGAAGAGAGCCATAGAGATGTGATGTTTGCATTACATGTATCACATCTCCTCCCCCGTTCTGCCCTCACCACCTCTCAGCCCTTCCCTAGTCCGCTATTTGTACGGAATTTCGATTCCCATATTAAAGATCCTCCTACGCTTGTCCATAAGACCTATTAGCTACAAAGAGCAATGTGCCAGGCGTCAATTGTACAGCATTTTCGAAAAGATCGGAAAGAATGCCTCAACCGAGTTACACTGATGACGCCCACCCATCACAGTACAGAGCGGAGAAGTTGCCAGTTGCATTAACGCTGAGAAGGAAGGCAATGCAGCAACAGTTGATTCAAACACAAAAGAAATATCAGTGTGCTACGTTTTCCAGGTAGCGAAGCATCAAACAGCTACGGCTCGCTTTCTAAATAATTTTTTAGAAGGAAGCCTTCAACACTTTGCCAGCTACTCCTGTGAAACCTAAAGAAATGAATCAAATAACACTGGCGGCTTCTTTACCTATCGCATTAATATTGATGGAATCAGCGATGCTGCGCCGGTCGTGTTCCATTGATATGGCTTTCTCGAATGCAATTCTCCGCATCAATTTATGGCATTCCTCGTACTTCTGCTTCGCGTCCGCATTCTGAGGCCGTGCTTTACAAACCTGTAACAGTTCATTTCTTGCGAACAATCTCAGTTCTGAAGTCGAACTCATTATTTCTGATAGTAAGACTGACTTTTACTAAACTGCTTCCGCCCAGAAACACGAACATGGGAGGTAGGGGGAACTTCCGATACGGAGGAAGAAGGAAGCAGAGAGGCGCACGCGTAATTTTAATACCCATTTTTACTACAGCAGCTTCTCGCCCAAAACAACGCTTTCAGCGCTAGAAATTGGCGCTTCTCAGTTCATTTCAGTACTTTTTGGCTTAATTCTACGTAGGTCGGGTTGGATACTGTGCTCTGAAGTCAATTTTTTGTAAATTTCACTTCCACCTAGCCAATTCGAGCATCCTCTTACACAGCATAAAATGATGTGCAACATCCCTTCTCCTTCGAGTAAACCCTATTCTGAGACCAAACGGTCATCGTATTCGGAAACAGGCATGCAAAATGAAGCAAGGCTCACTTTCTGGAAAGTATACAAAAGAAAAAAATTGGCCAACGCACAGGCTGCCCGTGCGAAGATGCGTTTTTTGCAGAGTTCCCGCAATTTCTGTCACTATCGGAATCGGTTTTTTCGGCAAATGCTTCAAGCTAAACTAATTAAGATT